TCCGCGGATGTCCCCAGCTTGGGACCATCACCCTTAAAAAGGTGGCGGGGAGTCGGGCAGCCTCCGGTCGGGCCCCGGGCATGGCTTTGGGGTGCTGGGACGTCCTTCCCACCCCGCGGGGCCGGGAGTTTTGGCTCCAGCTGTGGAGTGCTTAACCGGGAACCCCAAAAGCCCCAAAAAGGGGCAAAAAGAGAGGAAGGGGCCTGGGAGGCAGCAATGCCACGAGGGCCCCGGGGATGCTGGCGGTGCCAGTACCCTCCCTGGGCAAAGCGCTGCTGCCAGCCCCGGGGATGCCGGGGGTGCAGGCGTTGCATCGCCGCGATGCTCTCCGGTGGGATTTCTCTGGGTCGGGCCAGCGAGGGCCAAAGGCCATTCTTGGTAGCTTCTTCCCGGGGACCGGAGGTGCTCCCGCTTCTTTTTTCCGAACGTAGCTTATAAGGACTTGTGTCTCGCTTGTTTATCAAAGTGTAGCATAAAAGGAACAGACTCACAAAGGGGCTGTTGCCTCCCAAGCATCCCTGCATACATTTTTCTTACAATAATTAACTGTGCCGGGTCCGACCACCAGTCCAAGGTCAATTTAATGAAATAAAGCACCTTATATGGCCATATGGCTAACACACCATCACTTAGCCTATTTAGGGCCTTTGTTTAGAGAGGATCCGCCTCTGAGGTTTCAAAGTCTCACTGGTATTTATACCAAAGGCACAGCGGGACTCGGTCCCAGAGGAAAGGAGCCCTCGCGTCCGCGGTGAGTACTGCAGACGTCTGCTTTCCCTTCGCTTGCAGGAGCCTGGCACAGAGCTGGGGCCTTTGTTTAGAGAGGATCCGCCTCTGAGGTTTCAAAGTCTCACTGGTATTTATACCAAAGGCACAGCGGGACTCGGTCCCAGAGGAAAGGAGCCCTCGCGTCCGCGGTGAGTACTGCAGACGTCTGCTTTCCCTTCGCTTGCAGGAGCCTGGCGCAGAGCTGGAAGGCGAAAACCAGCCCTTAAGGCAACGCGGGGACCCCGCAGGTGCCCCTTCGGCTGCGGTGCCCCGGGCTGGGTTTGCACAGAGCCCAGAACAGCTTTAGCGGGGTGGGGGG